TGAGCGAGAGCGGGGGAGGGGGGGGGCAAAGGCCTCGACAGAGGGGCCTTTTGAGGGGACACGTGACCGTGAAATATAAGACTCGCGAAACGAGGTTGGGCAGAGATCGGCGCCCTCTTTGCCCCCAAAGAGTGGCAACGCTCTTTCGTGTTTTTGTTCGAGAGGAATTAACGATGAATAAATTTGAGAATTTTATGGTAGTGATCAGGCTATAAATAAATACCCAAACATTGAGAAAGTATCTTATGTTTACTAACAGTTAAGATTCTTAAAATGTTGTCAGGTCGTGCATTTTATTTGAGAATTCCATTGATAAAAAAAAGAAAATTGAATGGTATTGAATAGGATTACTATCCCTAACTTTCATCTGGCACTGTTTCATGTTTCTACTAATTTGCAGATTACAGCCTGAATTTTAGCTAGAAAATTTAAAACCATTATGAGATTTTACAATTTTTATGATTTTGTGTTGGTTTTAATCAAAAGTTGTGATGTTTTCGCCATTTTGAAATGTTTCTTGGTGCTGAGGTGCCGCTAGGTATATTCAAGGGCTCATTTTGTTCATTTTCCCATGGCTTTTTCATGCAAGAAAATGTGCGGTTAGGTATTTGGTAAACCCATTTTACCTACGTTTCAAGAATTATCTATTTATGGTTAAAATTGAAAAATGTGTACCTCCACTGCGACTAACCAACTCCTATTGTGTTTTTATTCTTTCAAAAGAAAAAAGAAACCAAAACATCTATTTAAAATTTTCAGTGAACTTTGTTGAATGAGTGAAGAAACTTCACAGAAACCCCGAAGAAAAACTGTTAATGAATTTTTTTCCAGAACAATAAAACAAGTGGGTAATATGGCGGAGATTTGAAACTTTGTAACTCTTTCGTGCTAAGTAAGAGCGTTTTATGTAGCGTCAGGCGTTGCCAAATCTCCTTCAAAGAATAATGAATTTTCAGGAGAATTTGTGAATATTTCTCCTCCAATTTTTCACAGGATTTCGTTTGAAATTTGATCTTAAAAGTCTGAAAATTTCAAGGAGAAATATTACTCAAAAATTTTTTCAAGAAACAATATTTTCAAAGAAGAAATTTGGCAACGTTTAAATGTTTATACGGCGTTTTTCCTTAGCACGGAATCGTAGTCACGCATTTCTTGACATTAGGCATCGTCATCGCGCTTATTTTCGGTGATCGAAACTTCCTTCTCCCTCGAACCGTAATTTTTCCTTGGTGCTAATCGCTCATTTTTTACGCTCGCAATGTTTGAGGAAAGCGAGTCAAGCCAGTCTCGTTTCGCTGCATCAGAGAGGAAGTTTGGTTCGGTCATTGGCGGATCCAGCAAATTGGCAACATTGTCTTTTCTCCAGTCAAACCTATGGAAATGTATCGATTCTTGGAGGAGCCAGGTGCTCCGTCAAGAATCGATTATTTAGCATAGGTTTAAATGGAGAAAATCCGGTGTTGCCAAATTGCTATCACTGCCGAGCTCTCTGTTCCCTTCCTCTCTCCAATTGGACGTACCTGTGTAAATCAAAAGGAACTATCTTCATTGTAACGTTAAGTGGACCCCGAGATGCATTGGGTCCTACGCGTAACAGAACCCATGTTAGGATGGGAATACTCTCTTTGATTTAGATGGTTCAATTTGAGTGGCTGCGAGCGAGTGGCCATTGACCTCCGTTCATCCAGTAACGGAGTTGATGAATTCTAAAACCGCGTATGTCCATGATATGATGAGTCCTAGAACTTACGCAGTCTCATGGAACTCAGGGCTCATTATGAAATGGACTTCAACGGTTTTAACAGTATAAACTACAAAAACCCTCAAAAACATTTTCGGGCAAAAAATCCGGTCGAGGAAATTGACGTGTTACCTACATCTTATTAACCAAAAACATTCCCTTTCACCCCTCCAAGAAGGTTGATAAAACTAAGTAAGTAACTATGAGATGACAAAAACCTCTCTTAAATTCTCAGGGTCCACCAAGGCCACATATGTCCAAAAACTTACTCCTTATGGTTTAAAAAAAAGAAACAAAAAATAATCCCTCAACAATAAGAAAATTTTAAAAAAACCGATTTTGTGGTTCACAGATATGTACATAAATCCTTCGAATGAACTTGAAATCAAAAAATCGGTCGAGAAAATTTAAATGAATTTTCTCCTTCAATTATGAGTTCCGCAACAAGCACGACTCGCTTGAAGCTTTCCATACACGAGCCGCAAGAAACTAATTTCTTCTTTCTTACCTACTGAATGTGAGGAGAGCGGGAACATTTACTTTTTCCTTCATTTATACAGGATGCAACAAGCATGACTCTTGCGTTTGCANACGAGGGGCACTTCGCTTATTTGCCCTGTGTCGTAACTTAATTCCAGCGTTGCTTATTATGCCGACCCCAAAAAATTACTGATTTTCTTTGCAGCATTGTAAATTTTCCGAATAATGCTTTGATTGTTTAAATCTGTATAACAACGGCGCCGTCCTAAAATGTGCGCTGCAGCCCTCACCATTTCTAATCTAAAAACGATGAATAAGGCACAGTCGTCACATTGTCACTTCAAGAAAAATTCCAGCTTTCATCTCAAACATATTCTTATTTATTTATTTTCGCTGAAGAGTTAAGAAAAAATCCGTGGCAACTCTCGAATGAAAATACGGGGTTTTTCATGGTATAGGAGGTATTCGTGAATGGTCGTTTTTCCTCTTTCACTTTTCGTCCTTTCCCTCACGAGAGTTCGTAACTACATTTCAATGTTGCCAAATTTCCCCCGGCAAATTTTACTTTCACGAAGAGAATTTTGGGCATTTCCAACCGAAAATTTTCATGATTTTTCTATTGATTTTATGCACAAGCCAGACAAATCATCGTAAACAATTGCATAGGTATATTCTTGTTAAATTTTCAATTCTTTTGAGTCAATTTTGCAACCTTGGAATGGAGTTACGCTCGTCCGTTTGGAAAATAACGCACAGTGGATCGAGCCAATCAGAGTGGTCGGACACACAATTTTTGACTAAAACAGCAAATTTTGATGCTTAATTCGTCACATTTTAAATTTAAGGGGTGTGTTTTCAAGAAAATTTCACGAGGAAACCATTGGAACCACTTTTAAAATTTCAAAGTTTTACTTAAACGGAGTTATAAACTTTTAAAGTTTCCAAATTTTGTCCGATTTCTCCTATTGACTCGATCCGCTGTGCGACGCGCGACATGTCGATGTGCCGGCAAAGTAGCCGGGAAAAATTAAGTAAATGCACAAAGCTCCATCCATGCTCCGAGGGGGCAGAAGGCGGGGAGGTGGAGGCCCCCTAACTAGTTTAGTGGATCGAGTTTTCCCTCTCAAGAATAAAGTACTGGTCCTGATATTCTTGTACATACGCTCCAATTATTGACGTAACTCTTACGTGTTAGGAGGTAAATTTTGACGCGAATACTTACCTAACTTAGCTAATTCGTCGCTCTCTGGCGGAAGGGTGTAAGTGAATTTTAAGATGGACCCTGTCCTTCGTACTACTCCGTGCTTTTCAGGGCTCGCGCCCTTACGCCGTTACGTTAGAAGAACGATGCATTTACCGAGCTTTTTACTAGAATTCGTGCTCCTTTTAACTCGCATTTTGTTAATTATTTCGTGTTATAGTCGGTTTATGGGTGTGTGCAATTATTTTATTGAGATCCATCCATGGGGAGGACAAGGCGCATACGTTCAGTTTTACACTGAAAAAAAAAATCTCGGTGTATTTACCAAGAAAAGGGTAATATTACTAAGAATTCAGGGTTCTATTTGATCCCAATTTTTTCTTGGTAAAATTACCATGTATGGAATTGGTAATTTTACCGAGAAATCTCGGTAAAATTATTGACTTTCTCGGTAATTTTACTGATCCCTGGTAAAAACGCCAATATTTTTTATCGACTGTGGTAGAATTACCGAGATAAAATGGCATAGTTACCGGGAATTGATTACCAATAAAAGTGGTATTCTTACCTGAAAAAAAAACAGTAATAATACCGGTTTTTAGGTAAGCTTACTAGTCTGTCGTGGGGAAATTATCAATAATTGGTAAAAAAAAGTGAGATGGTAAAGATACCAACGGACCTTGGTAAAAACGCCGAGAATTTTTTTTCAGTGTAGCTAGTTCGAGATATTCGTGTTCGATGTTTTGAAATTACACGGATCCTCATGGTGGAAAAAAAGTTTAAACTGACCATTTGATGCTTAAAAATTGGAACTTGGGAACGAATTTTTCACAGGATTCGCATTAAGACTATTTTTACTTGAAATCATTAATATCTCGATTTTTTTGAAAACCGCACTTATGTGCTTTGTCCTCCAAGCCCCTCAATTCAGCCTCAGAAAGTATGGCTTGTGAGCTATTTACAGGTCGACGAAGTTGACATTTTCATACCGCATGACTAATCGGTACAATATATTTTTGCCAAGTTTACGAAAACGAGACGGATAGGAGGGGTGTAAAATTAAAAATTTCAGCGCGGGTGAATTAATTATTGACCCTTTTTATACCATGCGCTGTATGAGGGAAACGACAATGATCATTTTTCCACGAATTCCACCCCATAAGCTGAAAAATTAAAGGAAAATTCTCAATGACTGACTAGAGTTCTCCATTTCCCTTTTTACACCATGCGCTGTATGAGGAAAACGACAATGATCATTTTTCCACGAGTTCCACCCCATAGGCTGAAAAATTAAAGAAAAATTCTCAATGACTGACTAGAGTTCTCCATTTCCCTTTTTACACCATGCGCTGTATGAGGAAAACGACAATGATAATTTTTCCACGAATTCCACCCCATAAGCTGAAAAATTAAAGAAAAATTCTCAATGACTGACTAGAGTTCTCCATTTCCCTTTTTACACCACGCGCTGTATGAGGAAAACGACAACGATCATTTTTCCACGAATTCCACCCCCAGCTAAAAAGTTGAAGGAAAATTCTCGATGACTGACTAGAGTTCTCCATTTGTGTTGTGCAGGTCCATCAACATGGCCGGAGAAGTACCCATTGGCGGGCGGCTCAAGACAGAGCCCCGTCGACATCCCAACGGACCAGGTGACGTCAGACTCTTCGCTCGAGTCTCGGCCCCTGACCTGGCGCTACGTCCCCGAAAACTGTCTCGGGATCGTCAACCCTGGCTACTCTTGGAGAGTCGACGTCGATGGACAAGACTCAGGTAACTTTTCTCAATTTTCTATCGATCAGTGTTGCGTAGACATTTCCAGAGGCGGGTCCAGCAATTTGGCAACACTGGATTTCCTCCATTTAAACCTATGCTAAAAAAATCGATTATTCTCGGAACACCTGGCCCCTCCACACGGAGAAAAAAAACTCGTGCGTGGGACCCGAAGTTTAGGTCATATAGATCTCTGAAGTTTTCGGATTGAGCATCCGAACACTTAAGGTCCAGCTGCTGAGGTTTGGATCACACATCTGAAACTTCAGTTCTTATCTGAAGTACTTTGGTAGTCACATCCGAATAACTTCGGTTCTCACATCCGAAAAACTTCGGTTCTCACATCTGAAGTACTTTAGATGTAAGAACTGAAGTTTCAGATGTGTGATCCGAACCTCAGCAGCTGGACTTTCAGTGTTCAGATGCTCAATCTGAAAACTTCTGAGATCCATATGACCTAAACTTCGGGTCCCACGCACGATTTTTTTTTTTTCTCCGTACAAGAATCGATACGGTAAAAGGTTTGAATGGAGAAACGACAATGTCGCCAATTTGCTGTATCCGCCAGTGCTCTGAGTTTGAGAGTGGCCTTTAGTTTTTTCCCCTGTACCGACAGTTTTCCAGAGAATAAGGGGTTACAGGGAAAATACGAAGATCATCATCGAACTCATCAGCGCTAAGAATCATACTGGAAACAATTGAACTTCTCAGTCCGAAAACGACCCAACTCGAGTTTTTCATAATGTAGGTTTTTGCGTAGAAACGCTCCTTTCCTGCCTGTCACGCAATTTTTATAGTTTCCTGAAAATTTCCATTTTTCCGAGACGAGTCGTTTTCGAACTGATCCACTCGCTGGTTTCAAATGTATATAAAATAGCGGATGATACGTGGGTTGTTCTCTTCTCAAAATAAGTGACATATTTTTACCAGCTTCTAATATACCTAAACATCGCTATTTAGAAGTCTCATCTTCATTCTAGAGCTAACGATCGTTCCTCTTTTTTAGAATTGACTGGTGGTCCATTGCATGGAACTTACAAATTGGAACAATTTCACTGTCACTGGGGTAGATCAAACACCGAAGGATCTGAGCATACTGTCGATGGGAAACCCTACGCTGGCGAGGTGAGTTTCTCTGAAAAATAACATTTAAATACTGATATGCGCGATAAATAGCGATTTTATCGGTTGATTATCGCGATTATATCGGTGGCAATTTTATTTTTTTATTGCGATTAAATCGCTATGCATCGCAATTTTTTGTTCAACAAAATCGCGATTAATTTTCGTCGATTAAATCGAAATTAAATCGCCATATATCGCGATTTTTGTTGCGATAATATCGCGATAAATTGCCGGGCGATAAAATCGCGATTTTATTGTAACAAGATCGAGGATTATCGTTCAGATGTTGATGATCTTAGCGATTTTATCGCCGACAAAATCGCAACAAATCGCGATTTTTCCGTTGAAAAATGCTACTTGGGTAATCCGTCTGAAACCACGAATCGCAGCTGAAGAAAACCAGTTAAGTAGGCTTCGCTCTTGATGGATAAAAACACGTGCTACATTTATTGAAAATATTTCTGAATGCTAAAAAAAAAAATAATTAAACTTCATGAGTAGGTTCCGACGAAACATATCGATGGCCCGTATCCGAAGCCACGTATCTTTGTTCGCAACGTTATAGACTTTCTATCATACTTTATTATTTTTTCATTTGAAAACCTGTCAACTAATTAATTTCTTGTAAAATCCCTTGATTTTGTTCCTTTATCAGCAGAATAATCCGCAGAAATTTTAAGTTATATCGTTGACTTGTTCCTCTTCGAAAAATTGAAACAGGAGCAGAGATTTTGAAACACCGCAACGGCGATACGTGGTTTCGTACTTCGGCCATCGATATAACAATGCTCCAGAGAAAAACGTAGAATAATTTTGAAAAGTTGCAGTCGTAGGGCAAGTTTCCCAGTAAGAACCTTGCGATCGCGGATAAACCAAACCGCGGATAATCAAGAGTTGCAGTCGTAGGAAAAGTTTCCCAGGAAGAACCTTGCGATTGCGGATAAGCCAAACCGCGGATAATCAAGAGTTGCAGTCGTAGGGAAAGTTTCCCAGGAAGAACCTTGGGATCGCGGATAATCAAGAGTTGCAGTCGTAGGGAAAGTTTCCCAGGAAGAACCTTGCGATCGCGGATAAGCCAAACCGCGGATAATCAAGAGCTGCAGTCATAGGGAAAGTTTCCCAGGAAGAACCTTGCGATCGCGGATAAGCCAAACCGCGGATAATCAAGACGTCTCTACAAGTAACCCTACACGTTTTTTTGATCATGATTTGGAGAAGTCAATTTGGTTACATTGTCAGGATTATGTTGTTTCCCAAGTTTTAATACTTGGACTGTACGCAGTCTGACCGTCCAAACATTGCATTGGCCATACAAAGTATGTGCTTCAAATAAACTTCCAAGTAGATCGATAGTTACTCTTTACAAAAGCTTATCTCAAAATTCGGCGCTACACATTTCCTCTTACATTTTTTAAGGAAAACAACTTATGTACAATTAGTATAATTCTTTAATATTTTCTTCGGCTTAATTTCCCTCATCCTTTGCCATCAAAATTTCAACCCATCGCACTTTTAATATTCGTTTGTTTTCTCTATTTAAAAAGTGAATAATTAATAAATGGAGGTTTAAAAACTCTTAACTTGAGTAAGTGTTTTCAAAATTCAGCGAATGAAATGTAACAATGTTGGAAACGTCCTTATGAAGATGAGGCATCGCCAACCCACCCGATTAAACAGTCACTAAAACAATCGATTTAAAGCGCCCTAGTTACTTTCGAGCTTTTAAGAGAGAGAAAACAAGTGGCCAAGGTCAAAGCCACCCCTGCCCAGGTATTTACACTGGATGGTCAATAAAGGACGCTATAATTCTTCTCCAAAAACCTTGTTACAATTGAGTTACGGCTCCCAGCCAGTGGCGTGGCGTGAATTGCGATATATCGATCGTTATGTCATTTAAACCTATGGTAAAGAATCGATTATTGGGGTGTTCGCTGCGAACACCCTGTTTATCGATCCTTTTCCATGGGTTTAAATGGCATAAAAATCGATATATCGCTATTCACGCCACGCCACTGCTCCCAGCCTTTTTCAGTTTTTCGTTATCGTCGAGTGACTTAGCCTTGGTGGTTAATTCCAATTCACTCTTCTTCCTCCTGGGGCTGATTATTGAAATTGATAGACAAAGCGATAGACAAAGAAAGAATGCAGCGATCCTATTAGTTGAAGTGGGTGGTCGTAATGGACAAACGAGGAAAGCAATAGACCAACTAACGGCAACCAACGAGAGATCCTAGAGTTAATCCATTGTTTTCCCTCCTACAATAAGTCTACAACAACCACACGTTTCAACCAATAGGATCGCTCCATTTTCCCTATGTCTTCTTTGTCTCTCGCTTTGTCTATCAATTTCAATGATAAGTCCGCGGTCGTGCTGAGGAAAAACGCCGTATGAACCACCTGACGTTGCCAAATTTTCATACATGAAGATCACGTATTTGCGGGAAAGTTTGTACATGTTTTTCTTCCAATGTTCCAGAGAATCTGGATTTTTTGAAAATGGAGTTGTTGCATGTGTGAGGAATTTGTGATTTGACTGTTGATTCTTGTGTAAAAGTTCGCGAGTAACACGATGGTGCCACTGGTTTTCTCTGAAATCAATTCCCAAGCTCAAAAAAAGCTCTCAAATTGAGGCCAAAATGGAGGGGATATCCCACCCTATACCCTGAGAGTCCACCTCTACATCAAGACAAACTCTCTATGCGAAGATAGGGAGCAAATACATTGACAGGGCTGCCACTTTATTTGGGGACTCCAAAACTGAAAACACGGCAACCCTGCTAATGTATTTGCTTTCTATCTTTGCATGGAGAGTTTGTTTTGATGTAGAGGTGGACTCTCAGGATAGCGTGGGATATCCCCTCCATTTTGGCCTCAATTTGAGAGCTTTTTTAGAGCTCGGGAGTTGATTTCAGAGAAAACCAGTGGCACCATCGTGTTTCTCGCCAACTTTTATAGAAGAATCAACAGTCAAATCGCAAATTCCTCACACTTGCAACATCTCTATTTCAAGGAAAAATATCCATAAGTATCTACAAAAATAAATATTTCCTCAGAGGAGCTTTGGCAGCATTAAAATGTTTATACGGCGTTCTGCCTTAGCACGGCAGAATACGGAAGGGCGCCGATGACCCGATCGGCAAAACCGCACGAGGAACGACCTCTAATGAGCGATCGATGATCTGTTGCAGCTACACTTGGTGCACTGGAATTGCGAGAAGTATCCTTCATTCAGCGAAGCAGTACAACATCCGGACGGCTTAGCAGTGCTCGGAGTTCTACTCCAGGTGAGTTCCCGTCATGCCCGCCAAACTGATCCGGAAAAACCTTCGTCGGCATAGATATTTAGAGCATTTTCCGGTCGATTTTTTCTTCATTAAAACGTCGTTTCCCCTGAGGCGGATCCAGCAATTTGAGCCTCAAGCAGAGAGGAACCAAGCCACATCAGCTACCTGCTACTGCCAAATTTAGTCGGGCAATTTAATTTTTTACACGAAAATGGATGTTCGTATTTGTGCGCAATTTTCAGTGAATTTTCTGCATTTTGCAAAGCAAATTTCTTGAAATCGTCGAAGGAATCCGCACAAACATTCCCTCGTAAAAAATTAAATTGCTCAGTTAAAGGCAGTAGCTGATGTGGCTTGGTTCCATCCCGCGAAACACGGTCCAACTAAGAGTCTAATACCATCGCAGAGGGTGTTGGGAACATTGATATCCCTTGCTTTCCCGCTGAATGTCTCAAAAAAAGTTTCGCATTTTTCTGTTTCACCATAAATACGACTCAAAAAATGTTAAGCAAAATCAATTGGACGTTTGGCAACCTCAAGCCTCAACTGCATAATCCGGACAGCCTCTTAGTCGCGCCGTTGCGCTTATGCAATCCGCAACACTCGCCAGGGAAACCTTTCAGATTCGCGGAAATAGAAATACTCGCGATTGCATTCACGGTCACTGTCAACAAACGGTCGACTCTTGGGAGGCTCAACTTGACCTGCACCTATTTGTGACCTTCACTTGTTCATTTGTCACGATGAATTCCGCAATCAGCTTTTTTCCTGTTACTCGCGATTCACTTCAGACCGTATCAGGGGAAGTTTACCGTTCAGATCGAAAGATGGGAGAGGGATCTTTCGGGGGGTGAAATCCGGGCCACTGGATACTTTAGGTCGGCGCTTAAAGTTGCTCTTGGAGGCCAAAACGCGCGATACAATTATATCGACTTCCAAGTGCGTCAAATTGCATAATCTCCGATATGAAGGCGAACTCAATTTCTTCCTCTTGTTTTCACTCGTTTAAACTTAAGAGTGATTTGTCGAATAGGCACTCTTCAGAAAAGAGGCTAGGGGCACATTCAAAAGTGAAGGCAGAAGAATTACACATTTTTAAGCTATGAAGAAAATGTCAAGTGAGGTTTAACGAGAGAAATGCCTCTATCGATGACAATTGGGTTAGGACCGGCCTACGATTGGCTCAAAAATAGACCGAAATAATTGAAATAATCTATAATTATCATGATCACATTTTTTTTTAAATGGTGGGTTGGGGTATTGTGCTTTCTCTGCAGCTCCGTAATGAGTACGTAATATCAAAAAACTTTGGGTAAAATCAACATTTTTTACGATAGAATGCAACGTTTTTACAATAAACAGCTCGAAACTCGTAGGTACCTATGCCCTTATCGTTGTAGTTCTTTTTTTTTCTTCGTTCTGACTTCAATCTCTTTGAATTTCAGGTTGGAGAAGAATCTCATGAAGAAATTGAGAAGATCGTACAGTTAATCCCTCACATTCAGTTTAAAGGCCAAAAGATTCCCACAGGAACGATTGACCCTGCTAAATTTTTACCTGGTAAGTGATCTAATTTTCAATTTTATGCCTCTCGATTTAGATAGTATTAAACTTCGTTTGGTGAAACGAATGCTTTTAAAATGAATGCACTAAAAACACTCTCTGAAAGTCTTCACACTCATCACAAGAGATAAAATTATTACAAAATCTGATAAGTACCTACCAACTCAAAATATAAGATCGAGTTCCTCTATCAGTTCAATCTCACAGATGAGGCATTTTGTCTGATCTTGATTTCACTAAGTGCATTATGAATCTAATTTCAGTGAACTATTTTTTATATGACAACTCATTTTCTTTATTCATGTTACCGGCAAACCTCTACCTGCAGGTAAACCTACTTCTGCTAAAAGGGTCATGAGGCAAACCTAGGTCTGAATGAAAATCGGGTTTTGCCGGTACCTAACATTACAACATTTTTTATGCATTTTTGTCAAGGAAGATTATTTGGTATTAAATAGCGATTCTCATATTTCATGATGTTTATTCCAACGAACATCAGGTGACATTAAGTTTCAAAGTTTCTAAGTTTTAATTTTACATGCTCACCCATACTCAGGTCTGTCATTTGCTTGTTCTGTTATTTTAGGCATTGAAGATTTTTAAATTTTTGTAAAGCCAACTATGCAGTCCTTTAACTCTTAACGTGTAATAAAAAGTTCTCTGAACAAGAAATTGTTAATTAGTCTGACTCCAACTTTCCTCTTTTCTAGCTGATGTTTCATACTGGACCTATCCTGGATCTTTGACGACCCCACCTTGTTCTGAAAGTGTCATTTGGATCATTTTCAAACAGCCAGTCACAGTCTCAGAGAGACAGGTGAGTGTCATTTCAACCACTATCCAGTCATTTTTTTAAATTAGATTTGTATTTCAAAAACTTGAAAATTCCCAATTATTCTATCAGCCAAATATATAGTAACTTTTCAGAATTATAACACTATCCAGCAATAGAATTTTTTTTTTGTTTGCAAGGGAGGGCGGGCGGATTAAAAATGAATTCCAGGCTTTAAAAGGTGACTTTATTTTGGTCCTAAAATTTTTTAAAATTGAAATAATTGCGAACAATAAATAATGGGAGAAAATGTCGTAAAATAACACTATTTTCAACTGGTTTGAGTAGCCCACAAAAATAGAAAATAGGGGAAAAGAATAAGAGAAATTCTTCTCCAAGTTTGCTAGGCATCACTAAATTGCAAACCTTCACCCGATAATTATGTATTTATTCAAGAACAGTGTGAAATTTTCTTTTAAAGTTTTTTGCGATATTTTTTTTTTGTGATTCGACAAAAATTTCAGTCATTCTCAAATTGGTAATTATATGCATTCATCAACAAATACCTAGAGAGAAATAGATCTTTGAGTGAAAGTTTATAATATTCCAACATTCCCTATGTCTTTAACTCCTTCTCACTTCTTTTTTATTTTACTTATGCCGTAAGTTTTATTTTTTCTGTTTTTAGGACATAGTTTTTCCAATTTTAATAAGATTATATACGAATGAACTTCAATATTTTATGAATATTTTCTACAGGTTGAAGCTTTCCGAACATTGCGAACCTACAGTCCAGATGAAATTTGTCCATGCGAGGGAGAGGGACAAGTTTTGTACAACTACCGACCTCCACTTCCCTTGGGCAACAGAATCATGCGAGAATGCGGATCCATGTAAAAATTCGAGCTCTTGGAAAGTACGCTTTTGTTAAAACTCTCTAACGAATTACCTGAGTAATCTTTGAAACCATACCAGTTTTTGAAAGTATTTATTTTGAGTTGTTTTTATTTGTAGGGACTAATTTTATTCTGTGTAAATTTATTTTTGTCAAATTTTAAGTTCAATCATGTGCAACTTTTCTAGCATTCTAGAAAGTTTCATCACAATATTTCATTCTGCAGCCAATGAACAGCTTCTAACGTTTTGTTCAATTTTATGAGTATTCTTTCCTGAATATATCCACTCATCTGGACATTTTAATGGGATAAAAGAAAAATCGATGCTGACATTGTCAAGTTGAGCAATCAGCAACTGACTTCTCTGTACAATGTATTTTCTTTTGATTGTATTTTGAATGAAATAAGGAGGAAGAAACGAAGCAAACAAGAGGTATTCTTTCCTGCTACTTCCCTTTTTGCAGTTAAAATTTTTGTTAGTAATGTTTGTTGCAAGAAAAATATTGCTTCCCCCTTATCATGATGATCTATTAAAAAACCGAACAGATATTAAGATATGATACTTCAAATATGCGCAGATATTATGTACGTACATGAACCTTCAAATATTTTTTATCCTGTTTTAAAAGAACAATGTATTTTTTGCATAAATAAGGTAAACAAATGAGAAAAACCCGTTTCGCATACAAAAAAAAAAAAATTGTCCATTCACCTGCTAAATTACCTGCTCGCTCTTTGGGCCAAGCATTTTAGGGTTTTAAAAAAAGCAACACCTGTGAATCTTCTTTCGAAAAATGATAAAATAAAAGATATGAAAGAATTTTAGAAACAATTTAGGGGAAAAAAAAACAGCTGAATGAAGGAAACTAATATTTTTATGAAAGTAAATATTTAATCGGAATTAAAATCTCAAAGATCAGTTAGTTGCCAATGAAAGCCCATAATTCATTTTATCAAAACAGAACTCCTTCCAATTTGCAATAATGTCATGTAAATCTCCGTTCTCTCTGTTATTTTGTTTTCCTCTAATGTTATCGATTCTTTGCACTAAATCTCATTCATTGTTGACACTTATCGGTTAAGTTCCTCAGCATATATCCAGTCTGTTCAGCATATGTTGTCTGTCTAAAGAACATCACCTCAAATTATAACATGAAAAATGTTGTCCTCTTTTTTCTCTTAATGCACGTATGTTTTGTTAATTTTTACAGTCAAAGTTATGTGTCATTTTACATGCTACTCCTCCATTATTAAAGTGAGTGATCATACTTAGTGAAAATCAATTTTACATATGATGGATCTTTCTTAATGAGTATGATTGTTATATATATTTGACAGCCATTAGTTAAAGACTTTGAAATCTGCCAAATATCTCCGTACTTGAGAGGTAAAAATACATTAAAATATAACTAACCATGAAGTTTATCAAAATTATAAAATTGAAATGTATGGATCCCCCTACCCCAAAAAAAAATTATTTGTTAATACCATCTTTGTATACTGCAACTTCCTCTTTCGTTTTGCAAATGAAAAAGCTGTGATCAATATTTGCTGAAAATTTATGAGATGATATATGTTGTTTCAGTTACCTACTTATCTGATGCCTTAAAAATTAACAGGCCAGGACAATAATTTCTGTTTTTTAGTGCAGTTTAAGTGCACGTACATTTTTTAACTTTTATAATTCCGTACATGAAAAGTATTCAGTGTGAGAGTACTAGAATACACCACTTTCTTAGTGATCAGTTTTGGCTCTTAGCTTACTGAATTTATAATTCTTGGAGCCTTGGTCATCAAGCATATCAAGACTGTTGGCTATAGATCTGCAATCTATTTACTTGTTCACTCATTAATTTTCTTGCTTTAACAGAGTTTTTAAGGACTCTTTTATTTTTAGTTGTTAGCAGGTTTTTTTTTTACTCGATTTTACTGGATCCCTCATCTCATTCCTCCCCTTCAAGTAAAGAAAAAAAGAGCTAGAGGTGAATTTTTATAACAAAAAATGGACTCATTTCCACTTTCTTTGCAGTAAGTTTTCCCTGAAAAACATTTCGCATCCTCATCATCTTCCCTTATTATTCTCTGTTTCCGCCCTTGAAAATGAGCTTAAAAATAACGATGTAGTTTTAGGATTTGAAAATGCAGGGACCAATATATTTTGTTGACACTCATTAGGGTGTCATTCCCAGTCTGTGATGCATTTTTTGCATGTAAATAAAAGCTATTATTGTGTTAAACGTATTGATTGACCAAAACTATTTAATAAATCATTTTAATAATGAAAATAAACTCATGTCAGACACTTTTTTAAATTGCTACTTGGTACCAGCTGTGCTTTTAATAAAATGTCCATTCCAGTGAGATGGTCAAATATTATTTTACAGCTACAACAAGATATTATCACACTTGAAAATCATGCAGTGATATTGATGCTCTTCTATTTTTGGAGTGATTCGTCTTAAAAAACAGTCAGAAGACAGTTTTTCAAAACTTGAGGGCCACTTTCTCTAAGCATGTTGTTGTTTCGTTTTATAATTGTTGGTTATTTGTGCGAATATATTTATATATTTATATTTATGAGATCATATTGTTATATTTATATCTTAAAATACTACCTATTCATTTTGTAAAATGTCTGAATTGCTGTATCTATTGTAAAATAAACCTAGGTAGAGCTTCATTACTTTGACCATTTTCTTTCATCTATGATGAGTTGAAGACAAAGCACCAAACAAACACCCTAAGTGGCACAAAGCAACAAAAAGAATATTGAAATAATCTTGCAATACTTTTAAACCAAGAAATTGCAAAATTTGTACACTTGTAATTTAACCGGTACATGCTGATTTTAAACAACCAATAAAATGGCTCACAAGGGGAACTTCCCAAGCTGCCGCCTCCGATCGGGCTGAAAAAATTTGTACGAACTCTTTGGATGAATTTATTTGACCCGTATTTTTTTGTTTTTTCCAATGCCCCCCAGAAACACCCCAAAAAAATTCCGGAAAGTTTTGCTTTGAGCGCTTGAGTCTATATACGCAGTATAGCAGCACCCATTTACCGTCAAGTGGTGGCTCTATGGTAGCGCGCTTGCCCAGTGATCCGGCGGGCCCGGGTTCGATTCCCGGGCGCCGCGCCAAATTTTTACGACCGAATTTTATATTCTCACACATTTTCACATCGATGCCCATTTGATACATTAGAACTTAAAACATCAATTAATTTACAACCATCAACGATCAATAACTTCTTCAATTTAAAGTGTAGATTTTTTTTTGGGAGGGGGGGAGGGGTCACGCGCGCGATATTCTCGCCAATCACTGTACTTTCACATTAGCAGACGACCCGCTCCGCCCCCTCACATCGACATATTTCTCCCGATCACCCGTATGCGTCATGATTTTTCCCATCATTATCCAGAAAATGATAATGAAAAATTACTTCGAACATTCAAATTAAAAATGCTACAATTTTTCATTATCATTTTCTGGATAATGATGGGAAAAATCATGACTCATACGGGTGATCGAGAGAAATATGTCGATGTGAGGGGGCGGAGCGGGTCGTCTGCTAATGTGAAAGTACAGTGATTGGCGAGAATATCGCGCGCGTGACCCCTCCCCCCCTCCCAAAAAAAAATCTACACTTCAAATTGAAGAAGTTATTGATCGTTGATGGTTGTAAATTAATTGATGTTTTAAGTTCTAATGTATCAAATGGGAATCGATGTGAAAATGTGTGAGAATATAAAATTCGGTCGTAAAAATTTGGCGCGGCGCCCGGGAATCGAACCCGGGCCCGCCGGATCACTGGGCAAGCGCGCTACCATAGAGCCACCACTTGACGGTAAATGGGTGCTGCTATACTGCGTATATAGACTCAAGCGCTCAAAGCAAAACTTTCCGGAATTTTTTTGGGGTGTTTCTGGGGGGCATTGGAAAAAACAAAAAAATACGGGTCAAATAAATTCATCCAAAGAGTTCGTACGAATTTTTTCAGCCCGATCGGAGGCGGCAGCTTGGGAAGTTCCCCTTGTCAGTGTGTGAGAAAGGTGTGAAATTTGCAATGCAAAAAATTTCAACTTATTTCAATTTTATTGAAAAAAAATTTAATTAGAGGAGCGTCTTCAACAAATGAATAGACAGCACATGCAACCCCCCAATAACAAAGCAACAATTTTACAATGCAATTGCAATTTATAGCAACCTGTGCTACCAAGAGCACTGACAAAAGAAGAAAAATTGAAAAGATAGTAAAACATTTACAGTTGATTGTTCTCATCATTATAGAATTTTATAAGAGTAAAAACATAGGAGACAAACAAAATTATTTACGTATTACGACAAGTTCTTCCTTGAGTGCAGAGTTGTAGGAATTCATAAGTTCTAAAGTTCTGTTTTTCACTGGTTCAAAATTTGTCTCCATCTCCTTGGTTGCGATATACTCCTTCAGTGCAAAATTGTTCTGCTCGATAAGCTCTAATCTTTTCTCTAAATTTTTCAACTGGATGTAGGTATCGTTGTCCTGAAGTTGTTTCTAGAGCAAAAGAAAACATTATGTTGAAAAAATTAAAGGAAAAAAGATAAAAAAGATATAAATAAATGAAGGTTAATGAAGACTGCTTCCGCCAAAAGGAGGCACGTAAAAATTTGACAGATGAGGGAAAAAAATGAAATTTGTCCAAAATTTAGTCCCAGTAAATTTTAATCCCTCTTATTCAGTTCAAATCATTCTTCTTTACTCATTTGAAAAAAGGATATTCAGATACACTTTTCCGCAGATCCATAAAAAAGCAAAAAATACGTCTGGTTGACACAGATTTGTTCATAATTCCTTCATCAATGGATGAAGAGAGGGATTTGCAAGCAATTTTTATGCTACTTATCGTTGAAAATACAAATCTTCTCACCATCAATCGTTCATAAGTTGACTTTGCTTCCTGCAAAGTTGGGAGATCAGTATCTTTCATTCTTAAAAGTTCCTCTCGCTCATTGGTCAGTTCTTTTCTTTCCTCTTCAAATTTATCTTGCAATGAATCAAGGTCAGTGTATTTTTTCAAATCATTCTTCATATCTGCGATTTTCTGCTGCAAGGTTTCAATTTCAGTTTTGATTCGTATCTCCATTGAGTTTAGCTGCAAGCAAAATTTTGTCAGTACATTAACAAAAAAACCTACATAAGTAGTAAATCTATGGTCACCCTGGTAGCAACAACTGTTAAAAAAAGAGGACCTGTAAATTTTAAATGGACAACTCTTAAAATATCTTTAACAATATTCGTTATAGGAAACCCTTTTTAGGTAGTTTCCTACGTAAAATTTAGGGGCAGTAACTTTTAACAAAAAAAATGTTAAAAACTCTTTTTATGTCTAAAAAAAACGAGTGAAAAAACAGTTATTTTTTTTAAAGGCTGCTTTATGTTAATTTCACGAAGAGTTGAATTTTACTCTAAAAATAACTTTATTAAAGTTTCCTTGAATGAAAATGTTAACAGTTAGATTTTTCGAGAGTTTTGTCGGAGAGTGACGTTTCCGTGAATCTGAGATTGTCGGCAACGTCCCTCTCCGCCTCGCTATCGCGGCCCGAGCGCGCATGCGTTTGCGTCTGCGCACTCGCGAAGGCCGGCAGCCAGCGAAGCTGGTCTCGCGCTGGCGGAGCAGGAGCAGTCAGTCGGAGAAATGATCTAGCTGTGGCTCATGCCTGCGATCTTCCTTCACTCAATTTTCACAGCCAAAACCCTACCTCTCTCTTTGGTTTGTCGTTGTCATCCGAATTTTAGCGAGTTGCTCTCTTCTGCCCTTGTTGGCTGCTTACTTTCCTGATCAGGAGCTACGCATTCCGACGTTACGCTATTTGCGGCAACGAAACGGAATCGCGGCAGCTCTAGACAGGGGGCCCAGCCAACACTCCCGTAGAGCCCTGGTGATCCCCACGAGGGGGATCCCCACAGGCTGCTTTATGTTAATTTCACGAAGAGTTGAATTTTACTCTAAAAATAACTTTATTAAAGTTTCCTTGAATGAAAATGTTAACAGTTAGATTTTTCGAGAGTTTTTGAAAGATGCTTTTTTTTGTCACTTGCCACTAGACATTGCAAAAAATTACGGGGAAGAAGGCTGACAAACTGTTCCTTTATGAAATGAAGAGAAATACAATTTTCCCATACATCGATTAATGTGTACATGGCGTAGAGAATTTAGTCTTCAATAAAATAACATCCAGTCTAAAAGATGAATCACAAACCTTTTCCAGAGTCATCCCCAACTGGCGATAATCCAAACTCAAACTCTGCACGGAGTTATCGCCGGCAAATATGTTAGCTGAACTGAAATCCTTTTCCAAAAGCTCATACTCAACAGCAGAAGGAGGTAAAGTGATTAAATGTTTGCTCATTTTCGTAAGAGTTTTCACGATATCAGTTTCCAGGTCATTTAGGCGCTGGAGTTCATCCGATTTCGTGGACTCAAAATTGATGAGAAACGTTTCGATGGTCTCTTCCCTTTTTTTTAGTTCTTGGTATTTTTTGAATCTCTCACTTTGACTCTCCTCCAAATCCTGAAAGCATGGATTAAACAAAAAATTACCTAAGTAAAAAATTGGGAGGTAAGAAATATTTATGAATTGAATCTCTCACTTTGACTCTCCTCCAAATCCTACAAGCATGAATTAAACAAAAAATTACCTAAGTAATAAATTGGGAGGTAAGAAATATTTATGAATTATTGAAAATGAATGCTGCACCTTAAAATGGGAATTTTTTGGCGTGATTGCTAGAGAGAATAACAGGCAATGTCTACTGTCCGAACTTAGATATTGATACAAATATCTAGTTTTACAATTTTGTCTTCAGAACAAAATGGACGAAAGAAAAAGGAAAGCAGAGGCCATTCAGCTTTTTCACTTAAAGGATTGCAAATTAACTGCAAAATAAAAAAAAAGTGAAAGTATTTTTCAAGGTTTCCACTGTTTAGAGAGGTAGAAATGATGGCTTTTGTTACAATGACAAAATATGTTAGAGACTTCTTCATAAGATTGCACTCAAGATTCCATTGCTGAGACCTGGAACAGTAAAACTACTCCCAAAGACTTTCCTGGGTTGAAAATCACCTGATTCTTAAATCTCAATGAAAACTTGTTCTCTCTGAAAAAATCTGAGGTGCAAATTGGCATTTGCAAAAATTTAAATTAAGTATTCAAAAAACTAAATTGTTCTGCATAAAATGTTGCTTGATTCTCAACGTATCAGTTGCCTTTTCAAAAGTCAAACGGCTTATTGACAAAAGCATAGATGTAAAATATACTGGGTCAGCAAACATAGTAACAGTGTACAGAAAAACCGGCCTTTTTTCAGAGCACTTTTACATTTAAAAAAACTTGAAATCCAACTCACATCATTGATTGTCTCAATTTGTTTCTTTGTGAACTTGATTTGATCTTGCAGCATGCTCATTCCCCGCTCAATACTGAGAATTTCTGCATTATCTGATTTCACTTGGGCTAGTAATCGTTCTTGCTCCTCTTCTGGTGAAAGCTTGTTTCTCTCCTCCTGAAGCAGTACCTGTCGCCGCTCCTCCAATTCAGCTAATTTTTGTGATAGTCGAGCAGCTTCCACTTTAATCTATGAAAGAAAATATTAGAATCTAACCATTATTCTATCTTGTAAAAGAAAAAAATGCCTAAAACATCCTAATTCAGAGTAACTAAAAAATAAATGATCGGTTCTAAGATTAGAACAATAAAAACACACTAAAATACAAAAAAAAATGGGTATACAAGGCTAGAGGAGACAAAAAACAACCAGGACGTTGCGGGCCAATTACAAGCCCATTCTCAACTGGAACAGAAGCTAAAAAAAGTAAAAATTAAAACGAGAAAATGAGCATGCAACTGACCGAGGTAGGAATCAGTGCAAACGTCCTGGTTGTTTCATGTCTCCTCTAGCCTTGTATACCCATTTGTTTTTTGTATTTTAGTGTGTTTTTATTGTTGTCTGCATTCGGGCTATTGTGTCTCTCGCTTTCTAAGATTAGTGCATTGTAAAACTAATTTTATTCGATCATGAGCCTTGATCTAAGGTTTCTCGATATATCTACACAATACACAAACTGAAAGTAACATAGCAACACTACTTATGCCCTTTGTGCTTCTCAGTGACCTTCATTGCTGGTGAGCCGCAGACTGTGGATGATTACTGCCAATCATCGTGCATTAAAATTTTCTTCATTCGTTCAGTTGTCATAAACTGACATTCTATTCCTTTTTTTCTCTCCTGTTTTTGTACTTTCAAAAAATCTAATGGTCAGCTTGGGTTTAATATAGCTTACAGGCACTGATGAAATGTGGTCCAATAATTCGGCTTTCCGAAAATTAAGTGCATCCAGTTGTTCCTGCAGTTTATCCACTCTCTCCTGCATGGTTGAAATATATTCTTTCAGTGACGAGTACTGCTCCTTCATGGCAGGGCTCATGTTAGTTATCATCTTTTCTGTTGACCGACGATTCTGTTGGCATTAAAAAGACATTTCAGTTTTTATACTACATATTATTTTCTTTGATTTTATGATCTTCCATGAAAGAATTTACCACTTTTTATGAATATAAAATGATAAAGAGTAGAATAGATTTATTTATCCCTTTGATCTTTTTCAACAACACATTGATGTACACACATTGATTTACGAACATTTCAAGTTTATTTTCTAATGTTTTCTCTTGTTCTTCTCCTTTTGTTTCCTCTCTTAAATTGGGTTTTCCTACACTTTATTAAGCATAGGTAATACTTTCAGGTTGATAAAGGATTTATGATTTAGAAAATAAAGAGCATTTTTTGATCACCACTCAGACGAAATTTCTAAAGCTCAAATAAAAAATATTGAAAACTAAGTACACTCATAAACAACTGTAACTGTTGTCATTAAAAATTTACAATGCTTTTGGTTAAATGATGCATAACTGCTGATTGGAAAAAAAAGCTTAACAACTGAAGTCACACAGTTTCAGAACAGACATTCTTTTTCGGACGTCTTTTTACAATTTCTGTAAGATATAATGACTAAAAATACAGTGAAAAACCAACCGATTCGATTTCTTCTTCGATTTCTGCGATGAGCTGCTGTTTCCGGGTGCGCTCTTCAAACAACTGTTCAAGTTGTCTGGTTGCAATCTGATTAGCGGCTTGCAGCTCTGCCCGCTCCTCCATAATATCTCTGATTTCAGTGTTGGTATTAGCCTTGTCTACGAGTAGATTGTAATCGGCGAGAGTTTCCTGCAACTCTGGAAATAGCCATAAACTTGTTTAAGTTGTTTCAACATGTCAAAATACACGAAACACACAAATGTATGAAATTCTTTTAAATTAAGGTCAGAGAAATTGCTACTTTGAGAGTACAAAAGTAATGCAGCTATCTGATATCACATTCAAAATTGGGAGGTTGGCTCATGGAAGAGAAACATGAATCAGACAATTTTTGAGAAAAAGTTTTTAACATGTTTTCTGGTCCACTTAATATCATCTACAAATCGACAGGCGATATGCGGAAACAAAACACGTTCAGGCATGTGAAAAAATTCCTTAGAACTCCTTTAGATATGTGACAAAGCTAAGTAAATACCCACAAAATATTTTAATACCCTCACCTGTCAGCTCTGTTGCTGCTTCCTTTACCCGCTTGTCATACAGTAAAAAGGCAGCATGTTCCTTGGCGTATGTTTCAACTTCCTTGTTCAGTCTCGTAATTTCTGCGCCGAGTTCCCGCATTTTAAGTTGGATCAAACCCTCGAAATAACGTTTATCCTGAACCTGCCTGGCTCCAACGCCTCTGGAAGTAGAAACGGTATTCATTCCACTCAACCCATCAGCTGTTACAAGCCGATCCATCCCTGCCAGCTAAAATACAGTTGATCAATGTAACAGAATTGTAAGTACCCATGAATGGGTAGAGAAAGACTTCTTTGAAGATCATCACGGTAATTTACATAAAATTAATCACTTTTTTCACAGGATAATTTGGACTACATTTTGCAATAAGAAACTATGATTTCTGACTCATCTATAAAAACACTTATATGCATCAGAAAACTAATGGTGCATACGTTTCTTCTGAACTGAGCCAGAATTTGTAGTTCCTAATTGCAAAATGTGGTCCATTTTATCCACAGCTCTTTTAAATGTCAACAATTTTTCAAGGATGTGCACGCAGCTCTCAAAAATTCTCCGAGAATTTCATAGAAACCTTTAAAATTTGACTCGTGATTTTTTTTCAAAAAAATTTAAAAATTGAGATTTTTCTGTTTCTATGCGTTTTATGGCATATTGAGCACATTGCAGGAGTTTTGAGACATTTCGTGAAACATGTTAGCGTGGTGTTTCATGAAATTCTGCAACTCTGCCTGAGAGTACTTGGATATATATTTAGAAGCTAATGGAATGTCTAAGACAGTCTTAAAACATCAAGCTGAAATCATTATACAATCGATGGTCCAAGCTTGCACTGATGATCGGTAAGAGAACCACAAAAGGCATCTACTGTTCCACAGGGTGTCCGGAAGTTAACGTACTTAACCTACAGGATCAATTTTCCGGCTCAAAATATGACTTCCTTCTATTAGTACGTTAACTTCCGGACACCCTGTATTTTGAAGACTATCTATACTATAAGCTCCAAGACCTCCTAATTTTACGAAACTGGTAACGCTTAGTTCCAGCGTTCTACCGCGCCGATTTTCATGATTTTTGCGGTTATCGACGGGCAATTGTCTCTAGATAAGCCAACTCTTTTCAGATTTTCAAAATATGGCCCAGGTTTTTTTATATTACGTGGTAAAGTTGCGAATTCTCCCATTTAAACAATGTAAATTTATACTTTTTGTCATAGTTCGTTTGAGCGTTCTACCGGGCCGATTTCCATGATTTTTGCGTAAATCGACAGGTAATAGGCCCTAGATGAGCCCGCTGTAATCAGATTTTGGAAAAAGGACCCAGGTTTTTTTAAAATCACGTTATAAAAGTGAGTGAGTTTACAGAATGTTCGGTACTGCTACCGCTATGCGCGGGAGGATGCGCAGTGGTCGGGGAGGTTGCGCAGTAGCTGTGTAGCCTGCGCATCAGCTCTACACTTATCTACACAAGATTCGCATCCCAACCCACACATCGAGCGGTGACCGAGTCGTCTAAGACGTCGAATGCGTCCACTTTGAATTCGGTGTAGGTTCGATCCCCGACTCAAGAAACTTTAATTATTACCTGACTATCATTGTTCATTGTTTTACTGCAATATTTCATCAATCAGTCATTCCAAAACGCGTCCTTTTACTTTTAAAGTAACTTTAAGTAAAGTTTAAAATTAAAGTATACCTCATATCGTAATTGTTTAGGGGAAAAATAAAACTAACACTGATAGGAGGGTAAAAATAGGGCCGCGAAGCGGCCCATTGATGGCGCGGAGCGCCTTCAGGGGGTTGGGCCGCGTAGCGGCCAGGGGGCGTAGCCCCCTAGTAGTTTGATAAGCTTCTGAGGAAGTGGCAGCACATCTATGCTCAAAGTGCGAAGCCAAGTATCTCCGTTTGCGACGTTGCAGCCTCCCCGTCATATTTCATTTTTTCCTTCGGAAATCTGGTCTGTGTGATTTCTAAAAAAAAACTTCCTGGATTTTTCTTTTTTGATAGCAAAATATTCCGTATAAGTATATTAATTTCACGCTGTAAAATCAGCTTGTTTTTCCTCGACAAAATAAAACACGAACGGAAATGTTGAAACATCGCGATGGAGACGTGGTTTCTTACTATGCTGCCGTAAGGAAAAACGCCCTATGAACCTTGCGGTGTTGCCAAATTTCCTTTCATAAAAAGGAATTCTTTGGTGAACTCATGGATATTTTTCTTCCAATTTTTAAGATAATTTTGTTCGCAATCTCGCTCAAAGTTCATGAGAATTTCGAGTTAAAAATGTTCATAACTTTCCTTGAAAATAAACATTTCCTCGGAGGAAATTTGGCAACTCTCGAATGTTCGTACGGCATTCTTCCTCAGCTCGGCAGTATGGTCATCGATATATCTCACCTGAGATCCGGCAATGTTGATGACAGGGCCAGCAGACGTTCTGGAGGGCGCTCTCATCATAGCGGAGGACAATCTCGAGGCGGTCCCGATTCGGCTGTTGAAACCAGCAGTGCGAACTCCTGGCTCTATCCCTGCTCTGCTGGGAAGTCGATCAGTCTGGAAATATCAAGACAAATAAAAAAATAAATAACTATAGAATGAAAAGAGCTCATAAAGCCAAGCGAAAACGAGACCCAACCATTGGCGGCTTCAGCAATTTGGCAACACCAGATTTCATCCATTTAAACCTATAGAAATGTATCGATTCTTCGGGGGGCCAGGTGCTCCGACAAGAATCTATTATTTAGCATAGGTTTAATGCAGGAATTCGGTGTTGCTAAATTGCTGAATCCGGCTCTGCACCCAACACGCGAGACAACCGGTACTCGCTTCGAGTTTCGACTCATAATTAGCCTTCATTTTTGCGTGGTACAATTTCGCGACAGCCGAGTTGATATAGTTGCCCGGGAACGCCGCGCCGTGCAGCTTCAAATAAAACGAGCTCACACTCACGCGAGGCGTATGCACCGACAGCATTGAAAATTTTTGGTAGCTATACAGCTGTGTATGGTAGAAAAAAAGAAGAAAAAAATTCTAATTCAATGGCTTCACTTTTAGGAGAAGTTTATTCTTACTTCAATTTTGACTGAAAACACGAAGGATATATAATCATGAATTTTTGTGGAACTGGATGGTTTTTCACGGAACCATGGCAATTGATGAATGGACGTTTCACTTGCAATTTGGCAACTTCTGAACATTCATACAACTTTTTTTCGCACATTGGTGTTCTACTTTTTTGGACATGATTTTTAACCCTTAAATGACCAGGACTTTTTGTAGACTTTTTTAAGTCTCAATAGGAGGTATGTAAATACATTGATTTTGATGGCATTTTAATTATTAAGTATCTATGTTATTTCTATGTTATTGAAGGTATCACATTTTTGTTGAAACTTTCACCTTCTCCGTGACATACTGCCACTCCCCCCCCCCCCCNAATCATCCGCCGTATGTATCTCTCCCATGAGATACTGCAAGTCGGATTGATTTGACCCAGCTTGGGATTTGTGGTACGACACTGCACAAATGCGAAAATGCACAAATTACATGGCCCGGTCGGAATAGGACCACATTAGAGTAAAAGTAAAATGTGGGTAAACAAGGCTAACATTTTAAAACAATAAAAAAGCAGTGGGCTGATCATTGACATTGATAGACAGAACGATAGACGAAGAAGCCAGGGCGCGAGTAACGTCCCGTAAAGTCACACAAGTTTCGATATTAACCGAGAGACTTAAACGCACGAGTAGAATTATCGGAGGCCACATTGAGATGAATAGTTTGGTTGCAGGGAGTAAACTTCGGTTGATATTGAACACTGATTTTTTTCGATTTAGAGGGTTTTTTATTGAAATATTGATCGATCCGATTGACATGAATCGAACGAAAAATAAGAACGTGAACCGATCAACATCGATTCAAGGGACAAAGAAATAAAAAAGCGGATCAAAGTCAGTAGAAAATTTGCATTTACTATGAAAATTTCAAATTGAGATACCTCGAAATTAGGATCAGCTAATATGTCGATTTTTCGCGATTTTCAGCCAACGCGCACTGTATAGACACCCCCTACAAACCGTTTTTGGGTACATTATTGTCGCAATTTTTTTTTTTTTTTTTGCTTCAAGACCACTGTGCCTGAATAGATGTGTCAGAAATCCCCTGACTTTTCCCGGTCGCCGCAAATTCCCCGACTTTTCCCGATCGCCGCAAAGACCCTGACTTTTCCAGGTCGCCGCAATTCCCTGACTTTTCCCAGTCACCGCAAATTCCCTGACTATACCCCTAATTGGACAGCATTTTGCAATTTGGAACCATAAATTCCAGCCCGGTTTAAAAACAACGTATGTGCCATTAGTTTCCCTATACACATAAGTGTTTTTCCAGAGGAGCCAGAACTTATAGTTCCAAATTGCAAAATGCAGTCAAATTATCCCGATTTCCAGACCGCCGGCAACCCTCAGCTTTGTCTATCAATTTCAAGAATCAGCCTGGAGGTCCAGATTTAAGCCACCCTGTGTCGTGGACTGAAAGCTGAGAGGTTGACTCACCGACACTTCATCTTTGAGGCCTCGCCTGGACACGGGGCGGTTTTCGATGGGTTTCCGGTTGGCCTCCTCCATTTCCGCCGGGTTCACGACCCCAGAGCGCGTCATCGGGCGATCATCCCTTCGCCAGCGCGTCACCGGCCGCTCCACCGCCTCCCGGCTCGTCTGAGGTCGTTCCGTCGACCCGCTCCGTGTCACCGGTCGCTCCGAACTCATCGTCCATCAGTCGAATCGCCACGTCATCCCATGGAAAACCTGTAGCTGTAACAGATAAAAAATTATATGAAATGAGACAGGAGAAGGCGGGGACGAGGCTGAAAAACATAGTAATTTACAAACAATGTTAGAAACTCACCTTTGAGTTTTAGGAGCCATATGTGGCGCATCAAGCCCGATTTTTAGGCGCCATTGAAGATTTTTTAGGGGCCAAATTTACATTTTGCCTATATATTACCGCGCATTTAGTGAAAAGTTAGACGCAAGATGTTTTTGTAACAGAACTAGTTAGTAGTTGTTACTTGGAGAAGAAAAAAGCACAAATGATGGAATCGTGAAAAATAGAAAAAGCTTTCACTTGAGATGCTGAAAATTTCGAATAATCTTCTGATATGAAAATTCAGATTTTTATGGGGCAATTTTTAGGGGCCACGTTGGCGCAGAGCCTTCATTTTTTAGGCGCCATGGCCGATTTTTTAGGCGCATTTGGCGCGTCGGCGCCTGTGAGTTTCGAACACTGTTTACAAATAATTACAATAATTTATAATTTATGGTGTTTTTCAGCCTTCTTCCTGCATTTTTCTGTCCTATTTTTTATCTATGTCTTCGGGCTCGTGTGCATTTATGATAACAAATGAAGTATATAGAATGGAAAAAGGTGGGAAGCGGAAATTTGTCGTGCAAAGTCTTCATTAAATTATGAGATTTTTAGAATAAAGGGACTGGAGGAATTAGGGTGACAGCAAGTATTATTTGTGTGTTTGCCTTTGGAAATACGCTAAAAATAATAAATCACACAGAATTTAGAGAGGTAGGTACCTAATGCTTTCCGATCAAATAAGAAAAAAATTGGCGACGTCGTAAAGCGAGGCACAATAATCAAGTCTGTCAAACTCATAATTTAAACCCATTTAGGATTTTTTTTTAAAAAAACATCTTCTGCACTTGTGTTTGATCTTAGGAATTTGCAGCAGATATGTGATCTTATACGCTACTTGATATCAATTTAAAAGAAAACGAAAAGATGCTTACTTTAGCAAGTAGAGATGGTGGACAGACTGTCAGGAGTCATCAAAATAACGATCTACCATCCGTGAAGGTGGTGGATCAAAGGTCCCTGGAAGACAAGCTCCCTTTACAAAAAACACTTAGAACGTAACCAGCAAAAACACGATGTCGGGTGATAAAGGTGATGTAAACAAACGAAGTTGTTGGTGCTCGTTCTAAGGAATTTGCAGCAGATATATGTGATCTTATACGCAACTTGATATCAATTTAAAAGAAAACAAAAAGATGCTTACTTTTAAATCAAGTAGAGATGGTGGACAGACTGACAGGAGTCATCAAAGTAACGATGTACCATCCGTGAAGGTGGTGGATCAAAGCTCCCTTTACAAAAAACACTTAAAACGTAATCAGCAAAAACACGATGTATGGTGATAAAGGTGATGTAAACAAACGAAGTTGATGGTGTTTCAGATGCCATGGCAACGCGCATAAGACAACAAAACTCGAAGATGCCGACGCGGGATTCGGTAATAGTGGCTGCGTGACGCTAACGATCGTGAAGTCGCGTAACGTAACGTCAATGTCAAGGGAGAAAGTTTAAATAACAAGATAGAGGGCTCCTGCTGACTCCAGAAATCCCGACTCTCGCACGACAACGGCGACGCTCGCTCGACAGTCGACTGTCACGCGTCGTTTTGAATTTCCCGCGCTTCTCCGACCGTGACACTTCCCGCTCGCTGCGCGCCGAACATGCGCATGCGCAGTGGCTAAGGCCTTGTCTCCACGAATGAAACTTCTGGGATTTTTCCCAGTTACCGTCACCACGGGACGAGGCACATACGGTCCTGGAACTAGTTTGCGCGGGAAGATAAATTAGATAAAGTCGAGTAATTAACCGGGATTAAAATAATAATTGCACTCAATTGACAATTAGACACATTATTTTAACTGAACAAACATGAACAATAGAGTAATCAACAAAATATCGCACGAATCGTTTTCACTTCTTCTTCCTCTCTCAGTGGGTCCTAGGGGTACATGCAAGGACCATACTTGGTACTGGGAAAAATATTGATTAACTCAATATTTTTCCCAACTTTGTAAGTGGGATTTTTCCCTGGGACAAATCCCGTGAAACGGCCCGTGGAGACACGGCCTAAGGAAGAACGCCGTATGAGCATTTGAACGTTCCCAAGTTTTCTCCTTGAAAATTGCATTTTTAAGGAAAGCTATAAATATGTTTCTTCAAAATTTTCAGGCTATTTTGATCAAATTACGAACAAAATCCTCTGAAAAATTGGAAGTGAAACTGTCACAAATTTTCCTGAAAATTCGTAATTTGTCGGAGGAAATTCGGCAGCGCCTGACGGCTCATTCGGCGTTCTTCCTTAGCTCGGCAATGCAGGGCCGGATTAAGGGGGTGGCCACATGGCGGCAAATCTTGCAATTTTTTTAAGTGTAGGTATTAAAAATAATCGGATTTAGAAAAAAAAATTACAAACGAGAAAAGGCTACAAAATCTCTCATTTCCTGAGAGTATAGTAATTTCTAATTTTGTCGTCTTTCAGTGATACAAGAGACAGTACCTTTAATTAGTCGAGTTAAGAGAGGAACCAAACACACAATTTGGCCTGGAACGGCGCGACTTAGGGAGAAATGATAACGAGGACTTGAGATGAAAAGTAGAAGCCCTCGGCGCGGCAATCGGCATATAACACATACTAGCGCCTACAAGACTGCACGAATACTTTACGCATAGCATCAAACACAGTGCGGTTATTGTGGTCAGCGTGAAACGGATAGCGCCTACAAGAATGCATGAATACTTCACACATTGCGCCAAACATAGTGCGGTCAGCGTGAAACGCATAGCGCCTCCAAGACTGCGTGAATACTTCACGCATTGCGCCAAACACGGTGCGGTCGGCGCGGCGGAAGTTAAAATCATTAAACCGAATTTTGTGTTTGTTCTTTCATAATTTTTTCGTTCACTTCTTATGAATGGAGGGCCTTGTCTATTAGAAATACGGTTTACGAAACTTGACTTTCGCGCAAAGTTCCGTGACCTTTTGCTAGTAGTGTCGCTGTCGACAGCGACCCTATACCCTGTAATCTGAACTAAATATCTTAATGACATGACTTCAATTTCAGAACAATGACAAACAAACTTTGCTTGGAGATGGAATTAAAAGGGAAAAAGTAAACATTGATGATACCTTGATAGAATTTTGGTCAGAGGAGGACACAAGTATTTTTACCTCTTACAACAAATAAGATTGGTCGGTTCATTTGAAGTTAGTCCAGACTATTTTATCTTTCCATATTACAGGAACAATAATCTATACACTTAATTAATTGGAGACCAAGATTCCAGGATTTGGGTCTGAAAATATGAGGCAGGGATAATTTGTAATGATACTTATTTACTAAGGTTACCTATCTTTCGGTTAAAAACAAAAAATATAAAAAAGAAACGGTAACTTAGAAAGCTAGTTTGGATGAAATAAATTTGAGAAGTATTAGCAGGGAATATTTTATAATGGTTAAATTGACAATGGTAGTAGGGACTATTTTGGTATTTAAGAAAATGATAGCTTTTATGTTTGTGATGAGAAGAAGTCTTATTGTTAAAAAAAAGTTTGAAATTAAAACAAGGAACTTAAAGTTTTTCAATGTTTAATTAAAACAAAACAACAAAGTTATGAATTCACAAGTGGTAATAAATAACTTATCTAATTGACTAAAGTACAAAAACACAAATGAGAAAGCTTATCTTCAAATTTTAAAAAGAGCATACGAATTTCCTCAGTATCAATGTAATTTGAAGTCATCTCACTAAAATTCAGGACGCATTGCAAATGTTTCGAAGAGATTTTACGAATTACCGTGCAATGGAAATATGAATTACAAACTTTGATATAAAAGTGAGTGAAGAGTTTCAAGTGGTTGTGGAGACCTGAATTTGACTTACACTTTTCTTGAAATCAAATTTCAAAGACTAATTTCTACTACATTTGATCTTTCGGAGCTTCGATAATTCTTTTGCAATTGGTCTGAACTTTAGAGAGATGCATTTTATGTACCAAAACAACAGGTGCTGCACATTTTAATTTACAACCATGATATAAAAAAAATTCAATATAAAGGGTCCCTCGGATTAAATTTACTATCCACATTATACAATTTACAAAAATTACAAATTCACAGGAAATTTGATTTTCGTGAGATACGAGTATTTCTTAACAGAGAGAAGGCTGAGAACAGGCGAGAATTACACCTGAATTTGACGAAGTACTTTATTGTAGGAGGTATTATTAGAAAAAGAAAAATACCTTGAGCACTGACCCATTCATTGTTTATCATAATAATTATCATAAACATATAGTTACTTTTCAAGGCTTTTATCAATGAAGTCTTGCAATGATCCTTAATCAGTTAATTAAAATTACTGTTAAACAAACTTTTAATTTTTCAGTCTGCTCTAAAACTAATTTACAAGAAACAAGAAGGAGTAAGTTTCCTTGCAAAAATAATACCATGGAAAAAAAAAAAACTAAATCATGTTAATAAGCTCATCATGTTCAGAAAGAAAAAAAAATGTAGTTAACACACGACATTTTCGTTAGCTGCCATTTCTAAAACATCTGTTGCTGATACCTGAGAAATACTTAGGGGTGTTTTAGGTTCAACCATGCAGTCCTTGGCTTGCATATTGATCTATATTGACGGTGAAACAGCATAAAATGCATAAAAATGTATATCTCGTTTGCGGTGTTTCAAAATCTCCTATTTTAATTTTTCAAAGGAGAACAAACAACTCAGTTATTTGAAATTTGTATAGATTAAACTTCACACAGAGAAGAAAACTCAGGGAAGTTTGCAAAAATGACGTTGAATATTTTTTCATTTACAAAATGATGCATGGCAGGAGGTTATAAACCAAGACCTACATTCCTGCAGTTTCACTGTTGGTATATGGATGTTCAAATGTAAGTTAAGGGTCGTCATAGGGCACACGCAGTTGAAATAGAAACAGTGGAGCTGTCATAATGTTTTGATTGATAAACTTCAAACTGTGTTCACCGCTTTGAAACAATACTTTCAAGATTACATACTGTCAAAAACAGTAAGTAACTTGACATTGATTGCATTTTATGGTTTCAATAGTAACCACTGACTCAAGAGGTAACAGCAATGTAAGTGGGAAGAGAAGGGTAGCTGAAAATGCAATGAGAAATAGAATGCAATCACGCGAAATTCTCAGTATGGAATGATTAATGTCAGTCCATAATCGATTGTGAATATTTAGAAGAAAAAATTGAGCCATTAGTTCTGCTACAGAGAAATAATTCGACACTAAAGAAGCTGTTTGAGGTCATTTGCGACAAGTAAAATGAAGGAATTTTGGGTTACAAAAAAACATTAATCTGTGGTGAGGTGAGACTTAATCTTGGAATTTAAAAAGAAAAAGAAAAAAGAACATGTTAAAGAGTGATCTATTGTTCCGCAAAATGGGACTTTTTTTAAAATAAACAAATTTTTTTACTAATTCAGAATGTAAGTGCTTTGAGGATATTCGTGAAATACAAAACGCTAAATTTGGGATTTTTCAACCCACTTCTACTTAATGATGGTTATGTGACGTAGGTCCTTATCCTTCAACACATAAAAATAAGCTGGCATAATGTTATCCTTGATCTCCCCCCCCCCTCTCTGAGAGCATTAAGTATGTTGTGAACAACCCCTTTGGTAAATGATTATTTCTTAGTGTCAGGCATTAATGATGTTTACATACAAAATAAATATAAAGTAATTTATAGTAGTACAGAACTTTGATAAATTTTGAGAGATGGACTTGAATCCTTACTTAACTATTGTAGTATTTGAATTTGGACACAATGGACTTCAAGACATATGTCATAAATACAAGTAAAAGTAACTGATAGATTTCATTTTAAAGCTATCGCCAAATTTGGAGCTGCTTGGTGACGGTGAAGAAAATTATAGAATGAAATGTGAGGATTTTGTAAGGTGCAATCTCTAATTGGCTGCTACTGCTTCTGCAAGTTTCCTTAAATAAGGTACATCTTGTAAAGTATTTCTTGTTGAGGGTCTTCAAACTTTGGGACGAAATTTACTTTTAAAATATCTTCCACGCCTTCATCTACAGACGGAGCCTCATACTTTACACTGAAAAATAAAATTGTAGAAATTAGGGAAAAATAAAGAGATACTTTTTCATTGAGCATACAGAATACAGAAAAATATTAAAATGAATTCGTTGTTATATTAAGAAAATACATGGTTCTTCATATTCGGGAATTCAGATATCTATTATTGCTCTCCCACAATTTCTTAGCAGATGTAGATTTTCAATATGTCTGTGGCCTCTGATTGGTGAGTCTTGACATATTTATTAATCTACATCATAGAAAAAACAACTTAACCGGGCCGAAACATTAACAGAGAAACAACTCAAAACGGGACTAAGGCCGCAAATAATAAAAAGAAACACATAAAATAAAATAAGATAACCGGGACGTTTCGTAAGGATCACACCTGCATTTTCAACTGGCAAAACAAGAGAAATTAAAAGAAAAGACACTATGAGCCTCACCATTTGTTTTGTTCGTTTATGTTGGTTGCACTATCAGTCTCACAATTACAATGGTGATGCTCATAATGTCTTTTCTTTTAATTTTTCTTGTTTTGCCAGTTGAAAATGCACGTGTGATCCCTACGAAACGTCCCGGGTTTCTTATTTTATTTTATATGTTTCTTTTTATTATTTGCGGTTTTAGTCCCGTTTTAAGTTGTTCCTCTGTTAATCTACATCTGACAATGAATGATCTGCAATGATTTGATTCTGTGTAGAATATCCGCCAAATGTTGATGCTATTTCATGCAGAGACTTTCATCAACAGAGGGAAGTCTAGACCTTTTCTTGTCTCTTCCCCTCATTTGCGTCGGGATGAACCTCACAAAAATCATGCATGAAAAATTTTAAAAAGGGAGAAAAATACACTTACAAGAAACTATTTATGATAATCTCATTCACTGGAATATGGTTTGAGTCTGTGAATTGCCTGAACTGAAAAGTAAAAAATAAAAGGTTAGTGAATTCTTGCTCATTAAAAACTCGGGTGCACACATTAAATTTAGGTGTTTCAAAGTCTATTCTTTTATGCTGAAAGCATGAAGGGTGAATGCCTAGAATTTACAAGAGTTTTCATGCTATGAACATTTTATTGCCATTAACGATCACAATAGAGTGCAACTTCAGAACATGCTTTGAATAAGTTAAAACATCCACATTTTATCACAAAACCTGGCAATCTTGACAGAGATGGAAAAAAGTTTGAATTAAAAGTGCATAAGTTATAGATGGCTCAACAACAATGTTTTAGTGCTACTCTAAGCAATTTTGGGGGCTCCAGAAAAATTGCTTGTTGAGCTCTAGACGTAAAAAAAAAAAATTACTGAAGTAACATCCCGAATGTTAAAAATCTACACAACAACTCTTAAATGTTGATATGAACACTACAGTTGTTAATTCAACGTAGTTAGGATGTTATTTCAACAGCCTGAGTGTCCATAGCAACATTCAAGAGGTGTAATGCAGATTTTTATCATCAAGGATGTTACTTTAGCAACATTTCTTTTTCCCGTTTAACTTTTTTCAGCAACTTAAAATACTTCTTTAAAAATAAATTTTCTTGCTTTTAGAGATGAGCTTGAAATGGTGAATGAAAGAAAAAAGCAAAATATTAATGACTAAAATAAAAAGAGATGATCATAATGGTGAAAAACATAAGAAAAAAAGTATTGGTAGTACTTACTTTATTATTGTGTTTGGACTGCTCTTTTGACACATTCATCTCGAACACTCTACAAGGAACATTAAACTTTTGGGCTGTGCTGATATACCGTTCTCTAGACTCTTTGTCAGGATTGGTATTGTCGATGACTGCACTTTGTCCCGCTTGAATAGCATCAATCATCACCGAAACGCACTTTTGCCATGTACCTAAATTGTCACGGCTGATATGAGCATATCCATTCGGAACCAGATAATTTTTCACAAAAAAGGACTTGCCCGAACCTGGGGCACCAACCATGATTATGATTTCTTGATGCGGAGGGAAAAGCTTCTTATCATCCGTATTTTCAAAAACCGGTGTAGAGGGTGATAGGTCTCGTGGATTGAATGCGGGCAATGAGTAAGGAGCTTTAAATTGTTTGAAGAAATATTCCTCAGGAGTGTAAAAGATGAGTCCCAGATTTAATGCAAAGAGACGGTCTGCTGCCGAAAAATCTTTCGATTTGTGAGGTGCCCAGTTCACATTCCTTCCGGCTGCATCACCCACATAGAAAGAGTTTCCCATGTCAATTTCAATCCCCGAATTCATCTGGAAATGAAAACATTCCAGTCAAATGCGATACTTTTCCTCCAGAATAAAACCTCAGTTAGGGATGAGCTCATTCAAAATTATCAGAGCGTAAACAAAGACAAAGTACAGTAGAGGTGAAAGTGTGTGAAATATGAGAAGGTAAATTTTACCTCAATTCTTAAAGAACAACGACAAGGGAGGCAATATTTGATTGTGAAATGCAAGTAAACTCATTTTTCGATATTTGCCAGTAACCCTCAATAAAAATGATGCTCCTGCAAATACCGTTGTGGATTTTACCTTTGAAATTTTCGGCTAACTGCAATAGTCATCATTGATACAACAAGCCAAGATCCATGCAAAAAACTCAATATAAAATAAATCATGAGTCCAGCAAAGAGATCCTTAGGGTGGAAACTAAGTAAAATCGTTCGATAAGGTGACAAACTGTATTAGGGATTAAAATACTGCTTTCTAGTTTTTGATATTGAATACTTCCCATTACTCTGAAGAAAATTGGATCCATATTTCAAGCCATAATTGGGATTAATAATTAAGTGTCTGAGTTAAAGTGCCAAAGACTGGCAACAGCCTTCAGTGCGATGAAAGAAATTTTCCCCTCACTCTTTAACCTTTTCTTTCCTCCAAAATTTTAGGAGAACGGAGATTCCTGAACTTCAAATGAAAAATTACACAAGTGGAACGATTGGATAATTTCATCGTTGATGTTCTTTATTCATTGATTTTGGTTTCATGAGCTTGCCTTGAAGATTTGATGAGGAAACTAAATCTTGAGAAAAGTTCACATTTTGCTGTTGACTCTTCAGTAAAGCAACTAACAGTTCCTGAAGAATGGTCATTGACTATCTTTGCCCCCTTGGTACCCTGGTTAATTTCTCTGTGTTGCACTGGAGAGCAAGATCAACCAAATCCAAATTTTCCCCACTGATGGAAAAAAAAAGAAAAGAAAAGAAAAAATGTTCTTTTATCAAACTTGAAACTTAAAGACAAAATTTGTGAACGATATATTCATTTTCTTCAGCAGGTAGGGGCAGACAGGCAAGCAGGAACACAGGGAAAAATCCCAGTGGACTGGTAGATACTTGAGATAATTTTGGACTGGTTTGTTCCTTTCACTCGACAAAAAAGGACTAAAATAGGCCGATCTATCGCTTATGGACTGGTATTTTCAGGTGCATTTTCCATGCCAGTTCCCCCTGTGAGCAGGGGTTGCTAAAACCATTCCATTAGTAAAAAACTTGTTTCCATCGAGAGGATAAAAAATGGTCAAAGTGATATATTTGGACTTACCTCCTTCACCAATACATTCCACATTCCAGGAGCTGGTTTGCGGAAAATATCTTGTTGAGTTGCTGCAAAAACTTGTACAGGTATTTTCAGTTCTTCCACAACCTTTTCTACCTTTAACTGAAATTCTTTAGTTTTAGCTGAAGTTTGCACACTCTTGCCAAGGCCATTTTGGTTGGTGAAAACGACTATCTTGTAATTTTCTTCACTCCAGAGTTTGCGAAGCTTTTGAACGATATCGGGATGGAAAAACTTCCAATCATATCTATCCACAGGAAACACTTTGCCGGACTTAGTCAATATCAGAGTACCATCTAGATCAAACGCAGCAATCTGAAAAACCCAAGTACAAGAGAAGGTAAATTTTCGAGTTAGAAATTAGACGAGCAAGATAAGTTGCGTATGGGGAGAATTTTTACAGATGTGACGCATGCATTATCTTCTTGATAAGAGTTTTACTTTAAGAATAGATTCTGAACAGAGATATTTTCCTTGAATGAGAAATAAAATTTACCTTGCTTCTACTTTCAACACTTGGCGAGTCATAGATAAGGAGTGCCGAGTTCTTTATTGAATGCCATTGTCCTTTTTGGACCACCAATTCTTCAACTTTAACAGAATTTGAATGCGATCCGTTCAAAGCAGCTTCCAGGTGAGGTCGTTTGGCAGGCGGTTCTTCCGAGGTCTGTCTAAGCTGGGCTTCTTTGACAATATTTCGTGGTGGGGGGTCAAATTCAACCCTGTAAATATGGTATCCCACCAAAAGTTCAAGCCTGTCTCCATGTTGTAGCAGCACCTCTTTGTTTTTGGTAATTGGTTTGCCATTTGCACCAGAGTCATTATTGCCAACTTGTTTGATGCTCAACACGTTTTTGCTGTAGTCGGCAATTGCTATCACTGAAAAATAAGAGGAAAATCAAAGGTGATTTATTGTTTTAGGTCTGACGATGATTTGATACAAGAAATTCTTAATCTTTTAAAGACTCTCATTGGAGAAGAAAGGAAAAAGCAAGAAGGGGAAAATGTCCTGCAGGAAAACTAATCCAATAAACTACTTACTGACTAGATTCTAAGGTTGGTTATATAAGGGAATGTTAGGTGATGAATCTCAAAAATTCGCCAGTGTTGAAGTTTTAAATTGAATTTCTTGGTGGAAGAAAACAGTTATGGATGTAGCTGTGCAACAAAGCATGTTGGAGTAAAATGTCCTCCAGCCGTTACACAGCAGTGGCCCAGTGGCTCCTTCTCGCTAACGTAATGAATAGCTCATGTAAACAAAAGTACGAGTCGGACCGTCTCTCACCAACACATGAACAGAATTCCTCTACATAAGCCTTCCATAGACACAGATCTGTGATGTACAAGTTGACATGCAAATCAAAGGTGAGTCAGTTCAATGTCCATGTACCTATTTTCTTCCTACCACAGCTTCAGTTTGATTCGTTTGAAAAATTGAATCATTTTGCATTTGTGTTACATACTGAACTGTACAGAATAAGTTGTCACCACTTCCTTACATTACTTCATAAAAAACAATAACATCAATAACTAAAGTTATCAATGAGTGAGTTGATCATCAAGACTCAAAACTTCGATAACTCAGATGACACCACTCAACTTTCATTGCTCTGACTGCGTTAATCTTGCAGGGGTAAATTTATGGTTACTTTCAGCGGAAACTATGCTAAAGGTAAAAAAGAAAACTGAAAATTATTGGTGGATTACATTTATAAAAGAACAGCGACTGCGAGAGCATTATGTAAGAAATGAAGGATGATGAGAGGTGAAAATAGTTCACCGTTCTTTGAGGTGATTTACTGGAACAGCCGATGAAAACTTGAGTAAAGAAGTAGTATACGAAATAAAAAATACCTTGTTCTCTGGAGCATCTCTTATCAACGACCTGCGTTAATGGGTTTCTTCCGAGAGCGATTTTTTGATTGTGGGGCAGCTCTATGAAGCTGTGAGAGTTGGTGACACTTCGAAGTAGACACTTGTTTGCGGAGCTCATATTGGAACGGTGACAATCACAGGTTCATTTTAGGGAAAATACACAGAAAACTATTTGCACTAACTTCTTCCAAGCTAAAATGGATGATGGAAGGTCCTAAACGGCTAACAAAATTAGAAGAGCGAAAAATCAACAACAGAAAATTCTGCGAGCCGTGCGATTTCACAGGTTATGCGTTATGGCTGTGTTGTCATTGTAAGCAAGGTTACCGCTGCCGCAAGAGAGGATGTTGCTAAAACTCAAAAGTGAAGTTTCTAATTAAATTTCAGGGAGGAACGGAGTTCTGGGAGAAAAGCTCATAAATATTTTGATATTTTGACCGGTTTGAGTTCATGCCTTACTTCCCGAAACAAAGTTCCGAGTTTTTGAGTTTCATTAATTCAGCTTCACAGTAAAATTTTGTTGTGAAATCACTTGTACACTTGTTTCTCAAGTTTTGTGTACACTTTTGCGTCAACCAGATTTGAAGGCACTTCATAGATCACGGAAACAATATTTTTAAGCTATTCGCCATTGCATTGGGCTCAGCGTTGGTGTTCATGCCGCATAGGCAGGTAGACTTTAAAAGTTGCATTGACGACTCTGTTGTCTTTGAAAGCTGACGTCTAAAAAAATGCGCACTAATATTATGCAATATTTAAGTGCTCCTTCTACGATTAATTATTCAATGAAAATAGCAATCGCCTTCATATCTCAGTGTCATCGTGTGATTGATTAAGAAAAAGGTATACTCTAAAAAAGGTAGGTAGGTCTGTACGCGCCGAAATTGCAAGCAGTAGTGCGTGGTGTTCTTCGCTGCAAAAAATTAATGACAAGATGTTGATCTTATCAGTACTATTCAGCAACAGATTTGAAAATCGAAGCAGGGCGGGGTCTAAATAACAATATGCATCTTCAGATTTTTATCGATAGCTAGTCAAACAATAATGTTGTGGAGTTGCATATTTTCCATTTTGAAGGCGAATTTTCAGCTTTCTTTAGCAATGCTTGACGTTCGCCGTGAACGACCATGTTTCGACGTATATCTGTACCTCATCAGCGAGTCCTCGTTTTTGAGGCGTAGAAGGGCATAAGTATTTCATGTCCGATTTTTCATAGTAGTTTTGATTGTTCAATCTGTCAAAACTCCGTCAATTCGAACTCATCGTGCTGAAAAATTCCCATTGAATAATAGAGCGATGGATTTCTAGTGACGCTCGACTCTAATTCCTGTAGCTAAATGGTGCCTCGTCATTTGGATTAATCAAATTTAACCTCCCGTGCATAAATTACATGCCGAGTCCGCCTTTTAGGGAGCATGTCAGTTTGTTAGTATCGAGTATAAATCACTGTACCCTACAGCGAATGCCGTGGGCACATCTTAGATCCGCCCGCTAAATCGAGTGTATGCAACCCAGCTCACCGCGGAGTTAAAATAGTTGCATGTTGGGTTTGAACCCATCTTCGAATATTGGAGAACGAAACAAGCCGGTTCAACGCAAAAGCGCGAATGGTGACTTACTCGTGTAATATGTTTATCTTTCAACTTTTGAAAACTTAATGATAAGTTTGGGAAATCGCGATGACTTGCGAAAAAATCGCGTATTTCATACCACTGAAGATGAGGCACTGAACCTTGAAATGCATTTGGAATAAAACTCCACATGAAGTAAGCACTTATCGAGGTAAAAAACTTACTTAATCAAATATTTTTCTATTGTTTTAAGCTCCGGGCATTATTTACATGTAGGGTTTATCTTTCGGGAAGGCTTCAGTTGCAGTTAATATCGCGTTATTTTTTTTATTAAGTGTTTTCTCTGTTACTTAACTGAAGAGCCTAGAAGGAGCTATCCAGAAAATGTTCGGATGATAGCACCTTCAAAGGGGTGATGGAAAATGACAAAATAAATTTTAAACCGAAAATCGTAAAATTAATTTTTTTAATGGTGAAAAGGGCTGGAATGATACTTATTCCGCTTCTATTGGACATGACAAGACCATAATTCGTCCCTCCTTGGAAAATGTAGTCAAAACTTGTTCAATCCTCCTCTCATAATCATGCCTTTTTGCTTTTAATTTTTTGCGGAGTTGAATCTCTTCAAAATACGATAATTCTCATCAGACGGGCAGTGACACAAGTATCCGAGGGTTGGGCCGCGAAACGGTCAAGGGGAACCCCCTACTTTTATTTCTACACAATAAAATATTGCCACGCGCATCTGGGTCAGGTGAAAGGAAGCAAAATATTGCGTCATTCATGAAATTTTATTGCCTGACAAAGTCCATCTAAATACTTCCTTTTGTGTTTGATTCCGAATTTATTTCCGAGTCTTGGAGGGTGACTAAAAATTACCTAGCTGTAGGAGGAGAAGGGGGGGGGGATTAATCCAGTCAAACTTGCGCATATGGCGTAGCGTGAAGAGTAAGTTGTAGGAGCCCTAAAAAAGTCGTCAATCTCGCTAGAACGCTCGTGGCTTTTTATGAATAACCGCTCATGGCGCCTACTCCAGACTCAAAACGCCCTGTTGGGAATGGCGCTAAGCTTCTCACCCCAAGACCCCACCCCTCCGCCCCCGGGCGAAACCTTCCGTACTTTATTGAAAACCAATAGTCTGGCACAGCCACGTTGCGTCAATGCTAGTTGTATACTTTACGGGGTGGAGTAACCTTGGAGGTGATATCCCTCCGCCATTCCTGCATTTCTCAAAACATTGCTTGTTTACATTCGTCAAACGCCCTTTCTCAGCGATAGAAAAGCTGTCAAGTGCTTTAAATAATCGTTCAGTCCGTGCAAGCTGTAATCGCTTCGCTTTTTCAAACGTTAAACGGGAGAAAACAGTTAATGTTTACGGGCACTACTTTGCGCCGCGCAATGTTGTTTTGACGGTATCCAAAATAACAACAGAGCCATCGCGACCTCCGTTCCATTCATCGCCAGTTGAGAAATTGATTGCGAGGTGACCTGCCGCTACACTTGTGAAGTATTGATGCAGTTTCCTCTGTAATTTGCATCAGCAATTTCGTACCCATCTACCCATCCGCTGTTTTCGTTGAAACTCGTTAGTTCGAAAAGTTTTTACGGTTCGCGATCGAAGAATTGTTCATTTTCGGAGTGCGTTGATCTCATTTTGTCTGGCTTGCTGTTGGCTGGAACGTCGATGTTGTGTCAGTGAAAGTGGATTATTAGCAAGATGCCCAGTGTTGAGGAAATCAGCATTCTGTCGGAAAACAAGAAAACAACGCAAGATTTTTTGGCCCGCGATATGGAAGAATTAGTGTCCGAAATCAAGGAAAACCTCCGACTTTCCGGGCTGAAACCAAAACAAACATCTAGGACTTCCAAGTGCAGGCATTCGCCATATACCGTCCCTACCCGTGACTGGAGTTCGTGTTCTTGTGACCAGAGCAGATCCGTCACCAAACCATGTCCCGTGCATAATCGATTAAATATTAGTAATAAATCAGAAAATTCAAGTAGCACAAGTGACGATCCTTACGAGATGCTCCAAACTCTACTCAGAGATGGCAGCTTGATCAAGGAAGCAGTGAGGCGGTTACAAAAAGGCTTAACACCTAAGCAAAGGTATTTCTACGACTCCGACGAAGAAACGCCGAAAAGCCCTTTAAAATTTTGCCATCAACTTGACCTTTAAATATTCAACGCTTAGTCCTCATTTGTTATTAAAGTTCCTCCGATGTTTAGTGTTGTGAATAAACTTTGGGCCATTGTTGCGGTCTCCCAGAATTTCGTAGTCTTTATTGAATTAAATTTTTGGTGATTCTAATTTGATTTTTGTTGTACAAAGCTGTATGCAGCTATTCTGGTGAATTTTCTTCGCATTTTTGTCGGTATTGTGAATTTTTCCTGATTCTACAACGCGCGATGCAACGATGAACTGGCACGATTCTCGAACCGACTTCTCAATGTATCTTCTCATTGCTGTAAGCAATCTTCATGCTCACAATTAATTTAACACTGCAAATACTTCTCTGTGTGACTTCTAATAGTGTGACCTACTTACTGCCCTATGCACAAATGATGAAGGACTCCGTAATGTTTATTATCTATTATTAATTGTCACCATTACTTGACTTGACCCATTTAATCTGAGATGACTGTGTCATTGCTATCCTGCCCAACATTTTCTTTAAATCTTGTTCACAGATTATTCTATCCCCCCTGTTACGCCTTTAACTCATACTGCACTTAACTTCTGATTTTCAGTATAAACATTGGAACCCCATTGTCGCATCTTTTCATTGAGAGGGATAAGCAAGGCTGGTATCCCTGGTAAATTTAAAACATTCAATTCTCATTGAATCTCATTTAATAATGATTTAAAGGTAGTCAAATTTTTCCAGCATTCAATTTGAGCTGAATGTTTTCTTGTTCCTATAAATGTGATTATTAGTTTTAGCGGAATGCCTATGAATTTTCTAACGCAGTCATTATTAATTTATCATATTTACCAGTGGTCATTTAATTGTATATGAACTTAATGTCAAGGCATGTCTAAATTAACTTTCTCTCTTCAGCCTCTTGAGTGAACAAAGAGCACTCAAAGGATTTTCTTTCAACCTCTGACTGTTTCGTTTACACATAATTTTGGATTTTTTTTATTTCACTCTACAGGAAGTTGCTATATAGATGTAAATTCTCTGTAGGTAGTTCTTGTAGATTAGAAACTTTATTTGCTTCATGTTTATTTGTAATAGTCCAAATTTGTTCACTTGATACGCTAGGTCCAATATTCTTAACGAGGGAGTAAGGCAGGTACTTAATTCTAATTTACCTAAGGTTCCAGTGATGTATACAAATTTTATTCCATTGAGTACTGAGACATATTCTACAATCTAGCTCTCTCTTTTAGGAGATAGGTAGGCGAACTGTGCATGTAGCCCTTGCAAATTCATAGAATATGCAACAGATACCCAATCATCTGAGTAAACGAGTGCTAGGCATGCATATGGGCAGCATCTAATGCTACATGTATGCCTTTTTGCAGCTCTTCGCTTGAAGGTACATTTTTACCCCTTAGCTGTCTCATCTCCGCCACTGTAATGGAAGCCTTATGAGCAGTCTAGATTGTATTTTAAGTCTGTGATCAAACACCTTTGATGAGTTATTCTGTAAATTCGAAGAATTCAAGGATCCTCATTATCTGCTGCATGTCCTCATTT